AATCTTGTAAAAACAAACACAGTCAAAAACACAAAACCTTACTTTCAACAATGTTTTTAAACCCAGCTGTCATCCCTACCCTCCTCCACCAAACTTTATACCAGATTTAATAGAAGGGAATGCTAAAGAGATAAGCTTGCTTTTAAGGCCCTTCTGCCTCCCCATCTCCCTCATTGCCCACTCCATTCAGGAAGGGGTACACCCAGGATTACCCAACCCGTTGCCTCGAAGTCGAGTCTGACTCATAGCGACCCTATAGGACAGAGTAGAACTGCCCCACAGGGTTTCCTAGGAGCAGCTGGTGGATTTGAACTGCCGACCTTTTGTTTAGCAGCCGAGCTCTTAACCACTGAGTCACCAGGATTACCCAAGGGAACTGAAGAAGCCAAACAGAGAGCTCAGGCCCCAAACAACCCAGATAGCTTCCGTCTTCTGCTTCCTGTTCTAGGAATCCATTGTGTTCTAGTAGTTGTAGGAGGTAGAGGGATCCCCACAAGAGGGGTCAAAGTTCACTGGGGGAAGCCCTAGGCCTCTGCTGCCCTCCTCTCCTTGGAGCTGGGAGCTCCGTTCTTCCTGCACCATTCAGAGTCCTCAGTCCTGGTCTCAGCCACCCTCTTCCTCTGAGCCATCTCTCAGGGATTTATTTCAGGATCTGTTTCACCCACTCTGCCTGACGTCTGTGAGAAGCTGGGCGCTAGGGAGTCCTCACCATCCACCCCGCTCTGCCACCAGCCAGGCAGCCCCGGCTGGGACTCAATCCCCAGGCTCAGAAATAATATTAGGAACCTGAAGTCACTCTCCTCCCCTGCAAATCCTCTGCCGAGTCACTGGTGATTTTCTTTCCTGCCTCGCAAAAAACAACACTGTAATGTCTACCTACACACACACACAAACCCGGACCCCTCTGCTTAGAGAGACCTTGAAATCGGAGGATGGAGGATGAGGAGGCTAGGTTAAACTTACCTCCTCCCCGAGTCTCCCCTACACAAGCACACACTTTGGCAGTATCTATGAAAACTTCAAATGCATTGACCCTTTAACACAACAATTACACTTCTACGAATTTATCATACAGGAAATCTCCCACAAGTGTACAAAGAAATATGTGCAAGGAGATTTGTTGCTGCCTTGTATGTAAGAGAAAAACACCATGGACAACTGAAGAGCTCATTGGTAGAGGATTTAATTTTAAAATTATGGTGCATTCATACAATGGAATCTCATTTAGTCATCCAAAAGAATGAGAAAAATCCATATGTCCTGACATTGAATAATGTCTGAGATATAAACAAGAAAAGTAAAACTACAACCAATGCATTATAGAATCCCATGTCTGTCCCATATATACCTTTTTTATATATGCAGGAAAAAACATCTGGAAGAATATACAAAAGCCTGTTCACAGCTATTAGCTCTAAAGTATAGATTACGAAGTACCTCTACTTTCTAAGGTAGATTTCTTTCACAAAAAAGAATTATTACTTTTGTAACCAAGAAACACAGTAAAAAAAAAGAAAATTTAATGTTTTGAAAAAGAAGAAAAGAACAAATACCATAAGTCCTTCTGCCCACGCAGCCAGTAGAGGATGTCTCATAATATCCACCCACAAACTCCCCAGTGAGGAGAGCAGCCATGGCCCTGCAGATGACCTTGGAAATGGCCACAGAGTATCCACCCCCACAGCCAGTCCTGGCCTGGGCCTCCCTTACTGCCTTCACTGCCCTCCCTCCACTGGCCCCCATTCAAAAGAGGCCCATATTGGAGAGCAGGAGGCCATCCAGGTGTACTCCTAAGCACTTCATGGGAACTCAGGGTTTCCCAGACCCAGGTGGAGGTGGTCATCTCAAGAAAGACTTGGGTACCAGGCTGCCACTGCCAACTGTTCTGACCAGGGACACAATAGAATGTCCTGGATAGAATGGGAGGAAAGTGTAGTACAAAACTCAAATTCCTAAAAAAGGCCAGACTGACCAAACCAATAGACTAGAAGAATCCCCAAGACTATCGCCCTAAGATACCCTTTGAACTTGGAACTGAAGCCACTGCTGGAGGTCATCTTTCATCCAAACAATAGATTTGCTTATAAAATAAACAACATTACCCATGAGTACTGTACAGTGCTCCCTTAAATAATCAACTATACGAGACCAAATGGTCAACATTTACTCTAAAGCAAAGGTGAGAAGGTACGGGGGACAGGGGGCAGGGAAGCTAAATTAATGGAAACAGAACAAACAGAATGGAAAGAATGAGAATGCTGACACATTGTGAAAAATGTAACCAATGTCACAGAAAAAATTCTATAAAAATTGTTAAATGAGAATCTAATTTGCTGTATAAACTTTCACCTAAAATGCAATAAAATATTATTTAATAAATAAATAAATAAGAAAGACTTGGAATGACACTGACACGCAGTCAATGTGGAGGGAGGGTAGCGACTTCTGGCCGGAATGGAGGCCTGAGCTCTGCTGGGCTTTGGTGATAAAGCTGCCACTACCCAGGAAGGGGAGTGGGGGAGTAAAAGCAGGTCCCTAATCTAATCAAAGGGAGGAGAGGAGGGAGGAGGAAGTCAGAGCTCAGGGATGCTGGACACACTCCTATCTGCCCTGGGGGTACAAAGAGCTGGCCTGGGAGGAAGGATCTGGAGCTTCCGCTAAGTAGTTGCATGTCCTTGGACCAGTCCCTGCCTCTCTAGGCCTTAAGGATTTCTTTCCTTCTGCTTTCCCTTCCCTCTTCCTTGAGCACATAAGCAGAGGGAGAACCGGAGAGGGCATGGGAAGGTGGGGAATGGACTTTTGACTTTTACTCAAGTTGTTTATGAGTGCTGCACTTGGCGGGGGCGGTGGCCGCCATCTTCGTTCTCATAAGGAGGGGCCCAGGGAAAAAGGCACACAGGGAAAGTGTTCTCCATCTGGACTTTACAGTCCAACTTGTACAAGGATTGGGGGTGGCTGGGGTGGGGGGGGCGGAATGTCTCAACAGGGAGCCCGAACTCTGGGCCCACAGGTTTCCTTCAACCCCACCTTACAGGCATTCGGGCCTTGCCCACCACTCCTGGCCCCCAGGACCGTCTATGCCCAGGGAGCCTGTCTTCAGCACCCATCTCAGGGTCACAAAGAAATTCAACCTGATAGAGAAACTGGGACCAGAGAACTACAACCCTGCCCCCACCTCATCCCACCCTCATTCCTGGCTCTGGCCCCCAGCTCAAAATGCAGAATTCCTGGATCCCTGGGATGGGACACTAAGCCCCACAGACACTAGGGTAATCCCCTCCCTCCCAGCTCTCCAGTCCCTTTGATGGATCAAAGCAAGGGATTATTCCCAAGCTCCCAGACCTCCACTCAGTCAGAAATGACTTTCTAATCAGAATTTCCCACCACTCGCTTCTCCCACCACCCCTTCAGAGCAGCTCACTCTCATCTGCCACCAGTCCCCCTCTAGCCCCCACCACCTAGAAGTCGGGCCAGAAGGATAGCGAGGAGAGTCTGGAATATTCACAGATCTCATGGACACCAGGCCCCTGCCAGAAGAGCCTGTTCTAACCAGATAGGGAGGGAGGCGGATTGGCAGAGCCAGAACCAGGCACCTCCAAGGGGAGGGGAGGGGAGGGACAGAGGAGGGGTAATCCTGCACACACGCTCCCCTGACCAAATCCAGACATCTTAGTCCCCCAGGTGACCAAAATGGAGAAAACTCATCTTTGGGAATTGTTAGAAGAGCAGAATTGGAGGATGGGAGGAACGTTTTCACAGTAGGGCAGAGGGTCTTTCTGTCCAGGGCCTCCCCAGCCTGGGCCTGGCCTTAGCATTTTCCTGGGCTGCAAAAGAGGATTCTGCCTGGAGGACTGGGGGAGATGAGTCACAGGTGTGTGGAGAGGGGGGCCAGGTAGCACGTGTTCCAGCAGAACCAGCCCAGTAGCTCTGACGTGCACACTCAGGCACTGTTTGGAATCGATGCACACCAGCCGATTTTGCCAGCCTTGGGACCAGGAGGCAAATCTCAACTGGCCCAGACTCAGCAGGACAACTCAGCCCCTGCCTGCCCTGGGCTTGGGGACGGCTAGGAAGAAGCACATTCCTTAGGATGCCTCCCCAAGAAGTGGCTGCCAACACTTTCTCTCCCTGCCCGGGTTCCTGTATCTGATTCTGGAGCAGGGACTCTGTACCTACTCTAGGGATTTCATGCTTGCACTAAGGGTGAGGTGGGACCAGGGGATAAGGGCCTGTGCTTGGTTTTCACTCACTCCTCCCACCCAGGAAGATTACCAGAATCTAATTGTTCTGTTATCTCAGACACAGCCGGCCCTGGTGCTGGTGGGGAGGGCACACCCAGACCCTCTCAATGTTATCATTTATTCTTCCTATCACTACTAGCAACGTGGCCTGTATTCTCCCCCTCCTCTCCTAGAGGGTCGGGAGTGGGTGTCCAGCGGTCCTGGCATTCATCAGGAGCAAACAGCTGCCGTTACTGCCCCGCTGGTGGGAATAGTTGCTGTTCCCCGAGCTGGCCAACTCACGGTTGAGTCACTGGGGCCAGGCTGGCTCCATCCAGCCCAGGCCTCCCCAGCTCCAGCCACTGCCAGGGAGCTGCAGTCAGCAGGACTGAGTGCTCAGAGGCGGCTTAAAGCCAGGGAAGAATTACTTTCCATTCCCACCACATTCCCAAGGGGGAAAAAAAATCAGACCAATCTGACTGCTGGGGACAGGAAAGGGAGATAGGGACAGAAAGGCTCTTCTAGACTGCACCTATTTAAACCTAAGAGCAGCTCAGAGAAGCAGAATGAGGTACATACGCTGCATTAAATGCACAAGGACCAGCTGGCGTCGTGGGCAAGAAAGAGCCAAAGAAGGGGAAAAAAGAAAAGGAGAAAGGACCAAAAAAAAAAAAAAAAAATGCAGAGATCAGGCACTATCTTGGGGGGCTTCAGGAACCCCCATAATCTCCACCAGCTACCCATAAACACAGAATGAAAATTTTTAGGAGAGTGCTTGCTTTGTAAATTTAACTTCAAGGTAAGTCCCTCTCCCCTCCCCCAAAGAAATCCTGTACTATCCTAGGGCCAGGTGAGGAGAGAGGAAAATTCCAGACCAAGGTAAGAGCTAGTGTCAATCTTTAATAACTTACAGACAAATGCTAAAAAATAGTTAATTAATCATAATAATAAAGGGCACACATGGCCTATAAAAAGGATTGTGGGTCTACAAATGTGGGGAGGGGTTCTTAGCACTTCCACATGACACAAAAATAAAGACTAATGGGACTGACACCCCCAAAGAAGCTGCCGGGAGGCTCCCCAGCCGTGGAAGTTCTCACTCATCCCAAATGCATCCTCCAAGCAACTTTCCATCCCCCCGGAAACATCAATTAAAAAGCCAGAGAAGAAAAAGGAGAAAGGGGGTCGAGGTAGAGTCACAGTTTACATTTAAGCCTCCACAGTCCTGCAGCTCCCCCTTCTCCGGAGGTGAGGATAAGGCAGAGATGTGCAAAGACACCCCATCCCCCGTCCCCCTTCACCAAAGTGGCACCAAAACAGGACCCCCAGTGCACCTCTGTCCTTCATTGAGGGGCAGGTCCTGTATCCCGGGGTGAGTGAGGGGCTACCGTTGCCCCATTGTTCTAGTGTGCAGACCCCTATTAGGTGGGAAGGGGGCGGCGTCGGGTCACCGTCTCTTCTTGCTGCCCCGGGCAGCCTTCCTCCTCTTGAGGATCATCTCGTACAGGCGCTCAAGGCCTGGCTGCAAGCCCAGCCCGTCCACTGCGCTGCAGCCCTGCACGTGGGTGAGCGTAACAGCGGCCAGCTCGCGGACCGCCAGCCTCTTCTCCACCTCGGCCACGCTCAACGCCCCTGGCTGGTCCTGCTTGTTGGCCAGCACCAGCACCGGCACACCCTGGTTGTCCGAGGCCCGACTGATTCGGTGGAGCTCCACCTTGGCCTCCTCCAGGCGCTCAGCCTCGGCAGCGTCCACCACAAACACCAGCCCGTCCGTCCTTCGCGTGTAGGAGCGCCACAGTGGCCGCAGCTTCTCCTGCCCCCCGACGTCCCACACTTGGAAGGTGATGCCGCGGGACCCCCCAAGGGGCACCCGGATTTTCTCTGTGTTGAAGCCTTTGGTAGGGACGCTCTGGACAAACTCCTTGAACTTCAGGCGGTAAAGAAGAGAGGTCTTTCCAGATGAATCCAGCCCGATGACCACGACGTGCAGGGCCTGGAAGTGGGGCAAGAAGGAGGCAGTGGGCGCCATCTCGGTCAAGTGGTTCCCCATGGTGCTCTCTGGTGAGGTCTAAGGGCTCCCAGGAGAGGCAGGGAAGAGGCCTTGAAATTGCAGGCTGGAGACCACAGCTGGATTGTCTGAACAGGGGTGAAAAAGGAGGAGACGTTTAATAAACACGAATTTATTTTTTTTTTAACGCTGCTGCAGGTTAACAGAAGCGAGAGAAGAAGTGGCAAGACGCTCCCTCCTACCTAGGGGCCCTGACAGACCTAGAGGAGCCCCCTAGGTCCCGGGACACTCAGGTAGGGGGCAAGGTTTCGACTGGGCGGTCAGTCGTCTTGCAGCGCTTCTTCTCCCAGCTTGTGGCCCGGAATGCAGACGCCGTGACCCCCAATTTCCCAGGCGAGAATCCTAGCCAGAAGCGGGAGGTCGGGCAGCCCCCACGACACACCAAATTAAGCGCCAGAATGCGGGCGCTAAGACCCGACGACTGCAGCCCGCTCCCACCCGCCTTCACCTCCCCAGGTCGCTGACACGCCCCTCCTCCCGCCGCGACCCCTTCCCCACCGTCCCGCTACACTCTCCTGCCCCACATTTCTCCGATCGCTGACAACAGCTCCCTAGGCCTCGGACCGGGGCCGCCTCAGCATGGCCAAAACAGTCCCTTTACCTTCCGTCAGCCGCGCTCTCCCCGCGACTCTCCCGGCCCGTCACCGGAGCAGCCACCGGAGCCGCCACCGGAGCTGCCACGTGAGCCTCCCCTGCCTGCCTCCAGCGTCTCTGCGGAGCCGCTGGAGGACTCAGCCTTAAAACCCGTAGCGTGAGGATACACGGAGAGGACCAATCAGCAGCTGCGGGGCGGAGCGGGGCGGGGCCGGGCGGGGGTCGGGGGCGAGGCGGGGAGAGCAGCTAGCTTCGACTCCAACCACACATGGTAACCGACGCTGAGTCAGTCCTTGACTGTTTTATTTAATCTCTTCCACCATATTCTAACAATTGAAATTAAGCCCGCGATTAATCAGGGCTGGAAGGTGAGAGGAACAAAAGGGGCTTGCGAGGCAGCGTTTGGCTCGGGATAAGTGAATACCTTAATACTCTCAATACCACCGCATCTCCCTCCACCCAACACTTCTCGCACCGCCAGAGGGTACGCTCGAGAGATACTGACAGTACTTTCTCGTTTAGCTTTCCTAATGCAATTTTAAAACCTGTGTGAACCTAAGCCAAAACTAATCCATTCAGACTCGTAGTGACCTCATGTGTGGCAGAGTAGGACTGTGCATATAAGGTTTTCAATGGTTATGACTTTTCAGAAGTAGATTGTCAGGGCTTTCTTCCAAGGCGCCTCTGGGAGGATTAGAACTCCTAACCTTTCAGTTAGTGACCCAGTGCTTGACTGTTTCCACCACAGCCCAATAAAACTGCTTTTGGAGGCAAGCCCATTACCCCTATTTGATCCCCACAACAGCTTGTAAGGTAGAAACTGGTGTTGTCTGCATTTTACAGCTGAAAAAAGCTCCAAAAAGTTAAACGACTTGTCTAAGGTCACATAAAGCTAGTAAGTGGTTGAACAAGAATCCATCTGCATCCAATGCCCGGGCTGTTCACCACTTGACCCTATCCTCACTCATCAGGAAGGCTGTCCGGCTGGCATCCTCAACAGAAATCCCTCAATCACTGGTCAGAGTGAGGCCCAGCAGTAAGCCCCTCAAGGACCTCCCTTGTTAAAACAGACAGAGAATTCTTCATTCAACAGCACCATTGCATTGACTGTCCTCATTCATACTGTGTGCTCTCTGTGTTGAGCCAGAGACTATGGGGATCTAGAGGATGTTCTGGGCCTTAGGTCCTGGCCTCAGCAGACTTACACTCTAGTGAGAGAGAGGAGACTGACCTCTGACAAGAAATGCTTGTGAATCCTGAGATAAGCACTGGTAAGACTTCAGAGGAAGGAGAGAGCACCAGCTGGAAGGTTCTGGAAAGATTTCTAGAGGTTAATTAGTCCTGTGTAGGATTGGTTAGGGAGCTCTGGTTAAGAGCTGGGCTGCTAACCAAAAAGTTGGTGGTTTGAACCCACCCAGTGGCTCCTCAGGAGAAAGACCTGGTGATCTGCTCGCATAAAGATTACAGCCTAGAAAACCCTATGGGGCAGTTCTACTCTGTCACATGAGGTCACTATGAGTCAAAATCGACTTGACAGCACCTAACAACGACAACAAAAGGATTGGTTAGGAGGGGGCGGGACTGGGTGGCCATTGCAGCCTGGTACAGTCTGGGCAGCCCTGAAGGGGAGGAAATGTCACAAAGGGGCAGTGTGACCAAAAGAAAAACAGTGTTGCCCAAAGGGTGAGTGCCCAAAACTGCGGGGAAGAAGGGTCAAAGGAGAATTAATCTTAACTCTAATGCTTCCATCTTTACATGGAGGCTGAATTCTTGTATTAATGATGTAATTTCAGCATTAACCTTTTTTAAAGACTGTCTGTAACGGAACTGAAAACAGGGGAGGAGAAGTCATTGCCAGACAGAAGGGCCCAGCCCTTTCCTGCTTACCCTTCTCACTCAAGTGCTGATGAGATAAATAAGCTCCATCTGTTTACCACCAGGCTGCCTTACCACCTCCTTCTTCCCCTCCCTCCACAATGCAGGTTTCCCCAGCAATGCAGGGAGCCTCTCCACATCCCTAAAGAGATCAAGACCTTAGGAAATGTGTGTTACACCCAAGTTGGTGGGGAGGGGATGATGGCAGATTGCAGCCAGGAACTAAGACACAGAGGAGGGGCTGAGTTAAAATAAGGGTTGGGAGCCACTGCATGCCAGACTCTGGTCTAGGAACTTTGCCTACTTTTTCCATTTCTAATATTCAACTCAAGCCCATAATTAAGCATGGTTATTATAAAAAGAAGAAACTGAAGCACAGAGAGTTTAGGTAATTTGTACATGGTCACACAGCTAGAAATTGGCCAAACCTGTATTTGAACAAATGTTGCAATGGCTGTGAAATGAAAACATGCAGAACATTGATTTCTTGTGTGTCTTCCACAATCTTTGAAGCTTCATTATCATTTCTCCAATAATATGCCCTGGGACTCACACCAAAGAAGGAAATTGCCATTTGATTATCTGATAAACGGGCTGAAACTGACAACCCCACCCCACCCTTCGTCTTTCAGATTTGCCAGGGAAGGTGTTGATGAACAAATGGGAGGAAGGAGATGGGCCAGGGGAGGGGTAAATGAAGGAGCGCAGCTTGCAGGGGTCAAACCAGGCTGTGGGCTTGCCCCAATCCCTGCCTCCTTTAAATGGGAATTCCAGCCTGCTCCAGGGAGCCTTCCTCCCTTAAGGATCCACCAGCCATTCTGTTACCTGGCAGCCTCACCTCCGCAGCCCTTTCTCTCCACCTCTCCACAAGGTCTGCACCTAGTGCATTGGGGGATTGGCTGTGGAGAACATTCAAATATCAGTACACTGAACAATCATTTATGGAGCACCATTCCAGGTGCTGGGCATACAGCCCTGAGTGACATGGATAAGGACCTGCCTTCAAAAGGTGTCCATGATAGTGGGGTTAAGAGGGTAGACAGACAGTGAATCAACAAGATAACTTGGGATAATGATACAGGCTGGGAAGGGGAAAAAAAAAACAAAAAACAGGGAGATGTGCTGGAGAGTGACTGGGGCGAGAAAAAGACTGTCGAATGGCAGGGGCGGGGGAGGCAGGAGGGGAAGTTATGAATGTCTCCAAGAGAAGACATTAGAGCCAAGGTCTGAGTAACAAGGAGTTGGATAAGCATTCCAGGCAGAGAGACAGACTAGCTGGGGCTACCTGTTTCCTCCTGTTGGCTTCCGGACCTGGATCAGATTCAGGCTGTTGTGTCGTTGTTCTTCCTTTGATCGGTCTCCCCTACCAGACTAAGCCCCGGAAGGCAGGAGCTCAGCAGTGTCTAGCACAGTACCTGGCACACATAGTCAGGAAATCTTGTGTGAATTAATGAATGCATGATGGAATGATTAAATGCGTTCACAGAGGTTCTCTGAATGTGGGAACCAAACATCCACCCTTAGCCTAGGAGTTTCACTGTCCAGGGTTGTTGGGCACCTGGGGGTTCTGTTGTTACTAGATTGGCCAAGAATACCTATACCAGTTGCTGTCGACTTAATCTGACTCATGGTGACCCTGTGTGTGTCGTAGAATTGTACTCCATAGGGTTTTCAATGGCAAATTTTCAGAAGTAGATCTCCAGGTCTTTCTTCCAAGGTGCCTCTGGATGAACTCAAATCTCCAATCTCTGGGTTAGCAGCTGATCGTGTTAACTATTTGCACCACCCAGGGACTCCAAGAGTACCTATAAAACCCTGCATTTCTAGGCAGGGCCTAGGGCAGTATTGAACTCGATGTGAGAGGGACTGAGGCCTTTATTGGGGAGCAGGCACTTCAAAGGAGAAAAACTGGGGTTGGGTAAGGGGGTAAGGATGGGGGTGGCAGTGGCACCTCAAGGCGTGGCAGTGAGCTAAAACAGTCAGCCTGAGTCTCGCTCCCTCACTAGTAGGCGAGCTTGGAAAAGTCACTTCTCTCCTGAGAGCCTCAGCTTCTTGAGCTTGTAACAAGGGGCTTAGATGATTTCCAGGTCCCTTTCCCCCTGACCCTCCAAGCTCTGGAGTGGGGGAGGGCAAGGGGTGCCCGGAGCTCGCATGGGAAATGGCTGCAGACATCCTTGTTTCTTCATCGTCTTTGCAGTATCTTGATTCGGAGTAGCTGCTAAGTAGATGCCGTTGTAGGGGAAAAACATCAAAGTTTAGTAAAGCAAAAAGGAAGTTTTATTCGGCATATATTCAAAAGGACAAAAGTGGGAAAACAGACAAGCATGCTGCTAGAGCCATGTCTGCCCAAGTCCAAAGAATATTACAGAATAGGCAAGAATGGGAAAATGGACAAGCATGCTGCCAGAGCCATGTCTGCCCGAGTCCAAGGAAATATCACAGAACAGACAAAAGTGGGAAAACGGACAAACATGCTGCTAGAACCATGTCTGCCCAAGTCCAACGAATATTACAGAATAAGCAAGAATGGGAAAACGGACAAGCATGCTGCCACAGCCATGTCTGCCCAAGTCCAAAGACCATTACAGAATCATCAGTATATATTAACATTACAAATGGGCAAAACCACTGAAAGCTTTACCTTTTCGCAGATTGGCTAGAAATTGTGATCCTACATTTTGAATTGTCTTTCTTAACAATCATTGGTACAGATTTCAGTAACGACAGTCAGGAGGGTCTTCATTGGTCCAACAAATTTCTAGTCACTAATGCTAACAGAAACAGAGTAGAAAGTCTTTTGTGTTCTGTTTGTTCGGCTTTATGTGAAAGTTTCCCTAAAAGATATTTTCCAAGATTATCTTAGCTATTGCCTTTATACCTCAGGGCCCGGTTGATGTGTCCTTGTGAGTCCTTGTGAGCCCAGCTCCAGCTGGGTCACATTCTCTATGCTCAAGGACAGGGCCTAAATCAATGCTCTGAGTGAACAAAGAAGGAAGGAGAGGAGGCTACAAGAGGTGGGAGTGGGGTGGGGGTAGATGGAGAGGTGCAGCTTGGGAATCACCCATTTTTCAAGTCCCAGCTCTGTTTCCTCATGAATAAGATGGCGGAAAATACAACCTACCTCTAAGAGTGATTGTGAAAATAAACGTGTGAAGGGGCCCGATGGAAAGAAACCGTTCTCCCCAACCAAGGGCCATTTCAGAGGCAGCCATCCCAATACCAAGTCCCAAGGCAGAGCCAAGGACTGAAATGGGCAGATGCTGCCCCCTGCTGGCTATATTCATCCCCACCCGATTCCTGGAGAAAAGTGTAGGTGTGGTATGTTATGGATTGAATCACATCCCCCTAAAATATGTGTTGTAAATCCTAACCCCTATACATGTGGTTATAATCCTATTTGGGAATTGGTTTTCTTTGTTATAGTAATGAATACTGATTAGTGTAGGCTGTGTCTTAAACAAATCTCTTTTAAGGTATAAAAGAACAGATTAAACAAGGAAGCAAGCAAGCAGAGATGGGGGAAGATACATGCCATGCCACGTGAAGATCACCATGATTGCCAAGGAGTAGAAGCTGAAAAGAGACAAGGACCTTCTCCCAGAGCAAAGAGAGAAAGCCTTTCTCTAGAGCCAGCGCCCTGAATTCTAGCCTCCTAAATAGTAAGAAAACAAAATTTTGTTTGTTAAAGCCACCCACTTGTTGTATTTCTGTTATAGCAGCACTAGACAACTAAGGGTAGAAGGTGAAGTTATTCAGGTTCCTTTACCCCTGTCTGGAGTCTTCCTTTCAGACAGGGACTTTCCTACGTTTTGGGATTGCAATGGAAAATCCACCCTCTTCAAGTTTTGGGGGCAGGTGTGATCAGATTTAAATGAACATTATTTTGAATAGAAAATATAATTTCAATTACATTTTCTATACATTTACTGAGGGCCTAATAATACATTCAGGGAACACTGGAGCAGGAGGAGTTTGCAGGGCAAGGAAGGTGATGAAGAGCTCAGTTGTAACCATATTGTTCCTGTAGGATAGCTGTATGGGGACAGATGTCCAGTGCCCATTTGCCTTGGCTGAAGGAGTGGATGTGGGATGGTAATCAGGAAACAGCAACAGAAGCCCTGGGAGGGGTGAGATTGCCCAGGGGGCAAAGAGGAGGGAGGGAGGAGGAAAGGAGGATCACAACACCTTCTGAGCATCTTCTCAGTCAAGGAGGGAAATGATGTGAAGGAGACAGAGAAGCAGATAGGAAGCAGGAGGAAAACTACAAAACCTTACAGTGCCTGAAGCCAAGGAAAGAGAAGAATTGAAGAAGGAAAAGGGAGTGACCCTCAAAGGATGAAGGGGTAAGGACTGCTGGAGGATGGGGGTTCCCAAGAAGAAAGCATCCAGAGGAAGCCTCACCAGACAACCATGCCCTGGTGCAGCCCTCGACTTTGCAGGTAATTTCGTCTGTGCACATCAATTTGAGTTAGCTCAGGAGACTCACATTAACCAAACTCATAGAGCTGACCCATGAATCAGAAAGCAGAGTCGTTAAATTGCAATAAGAAATATTCGTTTTCAATGACCAGGATCCAAATGCCTGCAATCCAGAGCACCTCCTTCTCAGGGAAACCAAATTAGTGAGCAGAAGAGGGTCTGATAAACACAAAATTGAGCAGAGATCACGGGATGGGGAGGCCTGAAGAGTCATAATAATTATGTGTCTGGTGCAGGCTAAGCATATTGTATACATTGTCTCATTTGATCCTCATTCGTTCATCCAACAAATATTTATCAAATGGCAAGTACATGCCAGGGCACTGTCCTCGGTGCTGGGGATAGAGCAACAATAAAGTCTCTACCCTCAAGGCAGAATACAAACAATAAACTAATAATGTGTGCATATTTGTAAATAAATGTATATGTCTATTTGTCTATATTTTTATATATGCCAGGTTGTGATAAATGCTATGGAGAAAAACAAAGACAGGTAAAGGAGGATATGAAATAGAAATGTCCAGGATGGGGAGAGGGAGATTGTTTACAACAACACTCCATGATACCTTCTTGATTTTTTGAGATCAAGTGACGAAATATAAAATCCCCAACTAAACCACAGTTCTGTCTGGAAGGAGAGGGGGACAGGTAAAGGCCCTCCTCTTCTGGTACTCCTCCTCTCTCCTCCCCACTGTCCACCTCAGCCTTCCGCCTACGAAGCCACCTTCCTCCAGTCCTTCTGTTACCCTGACTCAGAATGAGCCCCTCATCCCACAGGTTCGAAGTTCATCTTTCCACTGGGCGACGCACTTAACACAACACTGTCTTGGGTTTATTGTGAATACATGCTGCAACTTTGCGCTTCTTCAGGAGAACTCACACCTCTCCCAGCCAATAGCTCCCTCCCACAAAGCCCTCCCATTGCCCATCTCAGTTCCGTTTCACAATCGATTTTGCTCCAGCCCGGCTTCCAGCTTCCGTTCACTTAGTGGAGAGGCGCTCCGAGGGTGGAGTTCGCCGCCGTAGCCACGCCTTCTCTGGCGGGAATGGGCGGGGCATGTAAATTAGAAATGGAGTTTCAGCCAAAAAGCGACGGAGTAAAAACGTATATAAAAATTCCCTTAACAATGTACAGAATACAACCTTGCACAAAAGTCCAACCACTTGTATACTACTGTCAAAAGGGTTAGGGTTCTTACCGTGACTTTATTATGGAGGACAGGAGGAGGGTGACAGACGAGGATGGTACCTTTAAATATTGTTTTTTGGCTTTTTGGCTGAAATCGAGTGTAATATATGTTTTTATCAGTTTAGGATCTGATAGATTGTTTATCTGAAGGTGATATATGAAGTGAGATTTTGAAGCCTGGAGATGGATTAGGAGCTGTCTCTTTCCTGTTCTAGCATTGATCTGTTACTGCAATATCTTCACAAACGATGCAGGAACGATATTTCTTGTTCCACATCCTGTTCTGAATCTGGCTGGCTTCAATTTTTCTGGTAGATTCTTGTTGATGGATGGCTTACTCCCCGTCCCGCCCCCCACCCCCCGGCTTTTGAATGATCTTCAGCAAACAATAGGGCTTCAAGAGTTAATGGAATACAAGGAAGTTGTTTACCTGTGTTTTATTGTTTATGCAAAGGCATTTGACTGTGTGGATCATAACACATTATGGATAACATTGCAAAGAATGGGAATTCCAGCACTGTGCTCATGAGGACTCTGTACGTAGACCAAGAGGCAGTTTGAACAGAAAAACTGATTTAAAGTCAGGAAAGGTGTGTGTCAGGGTTGTATCCTTTCACCATACTTATTCAATCTGTATGCTGAGTAAACAATCCAAGAAGCTGGACTATTTGAAGAAGAACGTGGTATCAGGATTGGAGAAAGACTCATTAACAACCTGCATTATGCGGATGACACACCCTTGCTTGCTGAAAATGAAGAGGACTTGAAGCACTTACTGATGAAGATCAAAGACCACGGCCTTCAGTATGGATTACACCTCAACATAAAGAAAACAAAAATCCTCACAACTGGACCAATAAGCAACATCATGATAAATAGAGAAAAGATTGAAGTTGTCAAGGATTTCATTTGCTGCAAAAGAACTGTTTAATGTGTTGAAAAGCAAAGATGTCACCTTGAAGACTAAGGTGCGCCTGACCCAAGGCATGGTGTTTTCAGTCACCTCATATGCATGTGAAAGCTGGACAATGAATAAGGAAGACAGAAGAAAATTGATGCCTTTGAATTGTGGTGTTGGCGAAGAATATTAAATATTCCCTGGACTGCCAAATTAACAAACAAATCTGTCTTGGAAGAAGTACAGCCAGAATGCTCATTAAAAGCAAGGATGGCAAGACTTCATCTCACACACTTTGGACATGTTATCAGGAGGGACCAGTCCCTGGAGAAGGACATCATGCTTGGTAAAGTAGAGGGTCAG